GACTCAGTCTCAAAAAAAAAAAAAAAAAAGAAAAGAAAAAGAAAAAAAAGAAATGACAAATCCAAAGAGGCCAGTAGGAACTTCAGTTGATACTTACCACCGGATGTCTGCTGGTCCCTTGTTACTTGGCGCCTCCATTTAAATAGACGTGTACATGTGTCTTTGTCCATGTGAATGTACATGTGGACTGGAAAGAAAGCTTGGGACAAAACAGGGATGTTATGAGTTGAATTGTGTTTCCCAAAATTCATATGTTGAAATTCCAGCCCACAGTACCTCCGAATATGACCTTATTTGGAAATGGGGTTATTAAAGATGTAATGAGTTAATTTAAATTGAGGTCATTTAGGGTGGACCCTAATGTATGTAATGTAATGAGTGGTGTCCTTATGAAAAGGGGAAAATACGGACACAGAATGTGAAGATGAAGGCGGAGTTTGGGGTGATGCCATCACACCAATGAATACTAGAGATGGCCTGCAAACCTCCAGAAGCCAGGGGAGAGTATGGGACATCCCTCGGAAGGAACCAACTCTGTCAACACCTTGATGTTGGACTTCAAGCCTCCAGAACTGTGACAAAATAAGTTTCTGCTGTTTAAGCAACCTAATTTGTGGTACTTTGTTATCCCAACCCTAGGAACCAATACAAGGGAGGAAACTGGATCTGAGCCTTAATCCAAAGTCTGGATACTCAAAGTACAACATGCTTGATGGGTGAGTCGGGGTGAAAACATCCACAGGGGAGCCAGTGACTCCGTAGGCATCACCAGCCTGATTTCAACAACTTCTGTGACCTCAAATGGTCTGCAATGAAAAGTTAGTTTCAAATAATCCCAGGCTGATAGTGTTCCCAGGCACCTGGCTGAAGCAAACACAAATCCCTCTGGATGCACATACTTTAAACTCAGTCCTCCAAGAAAAGTCTCACAAACACATTTCCAAGAAACATGAGTCCCTCGTCAAAAATCATTAAACACGGGGGGAAAAAAGGAGTAAGAGTTTATGGAAGCAATAAAGTGCTGAAATGAACTGCAAAGAATGCATATATGGAATTACTGGATACACCATCAACAAGAAGTATGTTTAATATGATTTAAGCAAAAAAGGCGTTGAAAAAATGCAAGGAACATGGAACTATAAAATTTGATCAGACAGATTTGGAAGAGGACCAAAAACACTTCCATAAATGAAAACTATAATTATTATTTTAAAATGAAGTGGATGGTTTAAACAGCAGGTAAGATACAGTAGAATTGGCTAACTGGAAAATGGATTTGAAGAAAAGCAAATTGAAGACCATGAGGCAAAGATGAAAAATATGAAGGAGGAGACATATGGAACAATATGACAAGGATGAATATACAACTAATTGGGATTCTAGATGGAAACATTAGAAAGTGACAGGGCATGGCTGGGTGTGGTGGCTCATACCTGTAATCCCAGCACTTTGGGAGGCTGAGGTGGGAGGATTACTTGAGCCCAGGAGCTTGAGACAAGCCTAGGCGACAGAGTGAGAACACATCTCTAAAAAAATTAGCCAGGTGTGGTACTGTACTCCTGTAGTACCAGCTACTTGGGAGGCCAAAGCAGGAGGATGTATGGAGCCCAAGAGGTCAAGGCTGCAGTAAGCCATGATTGCACCACTGCACTCCAGCCTGGGCAACAGAGCAGGACCTTGTCTCAAAACAAAAAACAAAACAAACAGAAAAAGAAAAAAGAAGGTGAAAGGGTAATAGAGAATGGCAGAGAATTTTCCTGAATTATTGAAAGACAACATTTCCGATTCAAAAAGCAAACAAAATGCAATTAAATAGAAAGGAGACACACTCATACATACACTGTAGTAAAACTGAAGAACACCAGGAAATCTAAAGACACAAGTATAGGAAAGAATAGGCAAAACTATCATGATTTGCACAATATATAATAATCTATGTTTAACAAACCAAGAGATCATAACAAGACACGTAAGAGATTGCAATAAAGTGACCAGAGACAAGCATCCACAGTGTTACAAATTACAAACATCCATAGTGTTGCCTTGTACCAGCCATAAGCAATGAGAAAATTATTTTTAAAAGATTATATGTACCATAGCAACAAACAATATAAAGGATCCAGGAATAAACCTAACAAGAAAGGTATGTGACCTTTTTGTAGAAACTATAAACCTTTCACAACAAACATTTAAAAACAAGCTAGACAAATGGCAATCAGTACCATGTTCTTTGATAGATTAAATGTTGTAAAGTTTTCTATTTCCCCAAAACTGATATATATGTTCAAAAAAACCCCAAACAACATTTCAACAGGATTTTCTGGGAACTTGACACTCTCATTCCAAAATTCCTAAAAGAGAGTAACAGCACAAATTAGTCATGCCGATTTTGAAAACAAAACAAAAAAGAAAGATTTGCTTTAACAAATATTAAAATATAAAAATATTATAAAGCCACCATAATTAAAAGGGTGTAATATTTTTATACCAGGAAGTAAACAAATAGAAAAGTCACAGATAGAATTAGGAATCAGGGGCCGGGCGTAGCGCGGCTCACACCTGTAATCCCAGCACTTTGGGAGGCTGAGGCAGGAGGCTCACTTGAGGTCAGGAGTTCAAGACCAGCCTGGCCAACATGGTGAAACCTTGTCTCTACTGAAAATACAAACACTAGCTGGGCATTGTGGTGGGAGCCTGTAATCCGAGCTACTCAGGAGGCTGAGGTAGGAGAATCGCTTGAACCTGAGAGGCAGAGGTTGCAGTGAGCCAAGATCATACCACTCTGCATGCACTCCAGCCTGGGTGACAGAGCAAGCCTCCATCTCAAAAAAAAAAAAAGGCCGGGCGCGGTGGCTCACACCTGTAATCCCAGCACTTTGGGAGGCTGAGGCAGGCAGATCACGAGGTCAGGAGATCGAGACCATCCTGGCTAATGCGGTGAAACCCCGTCTCTACTAAAAAGACAAAAAATTAGCCAGGCATGGTGGCGGGCACCTGTAGTCCCAGCTACTCGGGAGGCTGAGGCAGGAGAATGGCGTGAACCCGAGAGGTGGAGCTTACAGTGAGCCGAGACTAGGCCACTGCATTCCAGCCTGGGTGACAGAGCGAGCCTCCGTCTCAAAAAAACAAAAAAGGAATCAGAAATGGACCTATGTGTGTTTCTTTGGTAGGTAATAAAACTGGCACTTCTAATCATTGGCTAGATCATTAATAAAAGTTGTTCGAATATAGGCTTTCCATTTGGAAAAACTAAGTTCAGTCCTCACTTCACACCACTAACATGGGTTAAATCCAATTAGATTAAATATAAACACAAAAACTCAAAAGTATTAAAAGAAAATGTTATATAACAGCCTATGTAGAATAATCTTGCTCTATGTGAAGGATTTTTAATCAACCCATGAAACATTAAAAGCCATAAAGAAAAAGATTTAAATTTGACTACCTCAAAATGTAATACTTTTATTTAAATAAAAGAATTCATATATAACAATAAGGAAAAACTATGTTATAGAAAGAAGGGCATAGTAGGCAAATCAGGACAGGATTAATGGGTAAACACAAGAAGAGAAACTTAGACTCTAAGAATCAGAGAAATGTAATTCGTTAAACTGAGATAATTTCACCCACAATTAATGCTGAAGTTTAGAAGTAATAATAATAAGAGTTGACAAAGGCAATGGGAAGAGTGGATGTTGGTGCTGGGTACATACACTCTGGAAGTACAATTTGACTCTATTCATATTTTTAATGTATATGCTCTACTACCTGGCAATTTCATGTCTAGTATCTATCTTTAAGAGTCTTATATGTGTGTACTATGAGGCATGCACAAAGATGTTCAATGCAGCATTGTTTATAATAGCAAAAAAAAAAACACCTGGAAACAAAGCAAATGTTCATTAATAGGAAATCAGTTGTATAAACTGTGATGTATTCATTCTATAAAATACTTTTTAAAATAATAAAGCTGATCATTATGTTCTGACATGGAAAGAGCTCTAAATCATAGTTTTAAATGGGGTCGCAAGGAGAGAAAGCAATTTGAAGATTTTGTATTATTTATGTAAAGATATTGATAATACAATAACATATATTTTCAAGATAGGAAAGCAAGTGCATAGAAAAAGATCTAGACAGATATCATTACTTCTGGGGAGTGTAATTGGATAGTGTGGAGGAGGAGTTTGTCGGGGAAGTGGGTGAAACGGCTTTATTCTTATCTGTAATTTTGTATTCATATAAGGAAAACAAATGTTAATTTTATTTTTAATTGCAAGCAAAATATGAAGACTATTTTTTACAGAAAAGCTTATTCAGATTCCTTCTTTTCTGCAACAATTCAATGTCCAATAGAATCTATTCCCATCGTGAGCTTCCTAGGTCCCTAACGAAGTGTCCAGTTTACCAAGTTTCTACTTACATACATCTTTTCTCATCTTTATGTGCTATGTAAAGCTAAATAAATCTGCTCCTTGGAAAGTGCTAAGAGTGGCAGTAAATCCAAAATTAATATAGGGCAGTGGTCTTTATTTATAGGTGTAATATTATTCTGTCTCTATTTGTCCACCTTCAACTCTACATTTCTCAGGGCTGGAAGCTTTGGAACCAGAGAGAACTCTGTTAATTTTGCGATTTTGGAGCCCTGATAAATTACCTAATGTCTGTAAGTTTCAGGTTCTGCATTTCTGAAAATCAGAAAGGCTCCTACTTCAAAGACTTGGTATACTAGATGAGACATTAAAAGTGAAATTATTCAATATACTGCCTGATCAGCCACGTTCGTTCAAAAGTCAAGCATACCACTTAGCTGTGTGAACTTGTGGAAAGTTAATTCACCTCTCTGAGTCTCAGTCTCCTCAAGCGTGGAATAAGAATAATAACATTTTATTGATACAGGTTCCTCTAAGTCACAAATGTAAAAGACAGCAAGCTCAATACGCAGACCATATGGTCATATCAATCTTTGCTTCCCTTCGTTTCTCCCTTTTCCCCTCTAGCGTCTCCTGCAGTTCCAAGCTGACACGGCAGATGGTGCAGTTGAATCGCCCAGGGAGCCTCAGCACAGCAGCCTGTCACCTCTCCACGAGGCAGCTGCCGCAAGCTGCATTCACTGGGACAAACCTACCTTCCTTCTAGAATGTGAGTCAGATGTGGCAGTGGCCCTGCAGGCGGCAGCAATGGCAGTGTCACAACACAGACTGAGATTTCGCTTCAACGCCGAACCGCTTGGGGGCTCTCATGGATGCAAAGTGTGTCGTTTCCTTGCCGAAGGACAGTGAAGGCAGGTGTTTGCTGCTCTCCTGCAGGCTCTTGGGCATGCATCAGAGGTACTTCTTTAGGGACCAAGCTCTCATCAAATTAATATTCTGTCTGTAAGTCAGATCCTGTTAATTACCTCGGTTTAATGAAGGTTTTCTTTTGGAAATAGAGAGATTGTGTTGATTCTCCATTTTTTGGTCCGCTTGAGTGAAGGAAAGTTGATGTTCTAGGCTGGATACAAGACTGAAATAGGATATTCCGAGGCAGCTTCTTACAGACGACCACCTTTCCGTACCAGCCATTAGAATTATATGAGCTTTAATCCTGCACCTAACTTTCCAGGGTTTCCTCCTCCAAGAAGCGGGGTTAGCACTGGGCCAACGACAAACAAGTGAAGGGCTTGGGTCAGGATACCTATGTTACAGCTGCAGAATGTCAAGCACAAGAGCAGTCACTACAGCTTGCCAGGGCAGAGCCCACAGAAGTAATATTCCAAAACAACACATTTCCGTATTATTCCAGCGCAGCAGAATGGCTGGGGGCTGCAAGTTGCATTTGAACAGCATTTCTCAACCTTATCAGACCTAATGCCCCGCTTTCATAACAAATACTGTGTAACTCTCCCCTCTAGTATCCCACAATGAGATGCACAGATACTACAACTTGTCTATGCACATATTTAATCCCTGTAATGTCCTTGCAGTAATATAAAGAATAAATGAAAGCAAAGTCATTATAATGAATATGTATTTCCATGTGTGAATATGCAGACACAACTATGCTGGAAGGCACAAGTAGCCTGATGCTTATGTCTGTTCATAGCATCATCCTAAATATCATGGCCACAAATCCAAATTAAGTGTTGGTGACTCAGGTACCATGCGCTGCATTGAATGACTCAGTAAAATTCCAACCAAATGTAAGTATAATCTTTCTTTACTTTACATATAATTATTATGGATACTTGCCATAAAAATAAGTTGCATTTATATGCAAAACAGAGGTAGGTTCTAGGCTCCCTAATAGTTGTAACAGCTACCCTTCCTACACACACAGACACACATGCTTCCTAAAAAAACCCAGGAAGTAAGTATGGCCGTTCTTGAAAACCACTGGTATGGAGGGCCAGATAGGGCCACAGGGCATGAAGAGGACCTGTAGTTGCCTTCCAGAACTCTTAGGTTCTCCAGGTGATTACCCAAGACCTTTTCAACTGCCAAAATCAAGACCTTGCTAGTGTAGTTATGTAACTGATGCCAAATTTGATAACCATAGAGTAAAGACCTATCGCTAGGGTGACTCTGCCCTAGATTCCTGTGTGATGATGCAGCCATTGTGTCAGGCCTGGGATGGAACAGCACTGCAACACACCAAAACCAGCCTGGGAAACGCAGGCACAAAAGGACACCTGGTTCATTTCCTAAGCCACCTTTCACTCCACCACACTGCATCTGGACAGGCTCCGGAGGAAAGGCCTGGATGCAAGATCCCAGCAGACCCTCATTCCACAGGGCCATCCCAGCTCTGCTCCAGCCACTGGGATTGTTTGGTGATCAGGGGTGTCGATGGACCACTGGTTTAGGCTCTAGTTAATTGAATGTTCTGGTTACATGACAGTTAATTCACAGTCCTCTTTGCTTTGATCCTTATAAAACTTTCCTAAATTCATGTGTTCACCCTTCACCAAACAACGTTTACTTAGTTGGAAAGATTCCTTTTTCTTTCCTCTATTTTACAGATTCCTATAATAGTGTTATAATACTCTGATATTAATAGCAATGCATTTAGTAAACACACAGCTCTAGCTTCCTGGCTTAATGCATAGTACATACTAGAGAAGGGAGGTTTTGTTTTATGTTTAAGCATACTGTAAGGTTTCAAGCTTCTCTTTCTGAGCCATTATCACTAAAAGAATGAAAGTGCCTACATAGGCATCAAAGATTGTGTTTAATGTGGATTCTCTTTTTTTTTTTTTTTTGAGGTGGAGTCTCGCTCTGTCACCCAGGCTGGAGTGAAGTGGCGGGATCTCGGCTCACTGCAAGCTCCGCCTCCCAGGTTCACACCTTTCTCCTGCCTCAGCCTCCCGAGTAGCTGGGACTACAGGCACCTGCCACCATGCCTGGCTAATTTTTTGTATTTTTAGCAGAGACGGGGTTTCACCGTGTTAGCCAGGGTGGTCTCAGTCTCCTGACCTTGTGATCCACCTGCCTTGGCCTCCCAAAGTGCTGGGATTACATGTGTGAGCCACCACACCTGGACTGTTTAATGTGGATTCTAATCTCAGGAAATCTCCTGAAAGAGTAATTGATTTTTTGGTTTCAGTCATTATGAATTTTTCTACTAGGTGTGTTGTGTGCTGTTTTAGTTGAGAGGTTTCAGAGAAGCAGATGCAAAGATGGAATTCAATGCATTCTGTTAGAGAAAAGAACAGAGGAAAAATGAAGAAGGAGCCAGGAGAGTCAAGAGCTGTCAGGCCATTCAGGTGTAACCCCAAGTACTTGTTAGTGTAATTATGTAGCCAATCCAATACTGAATAAATGAGTGCACTGAAAATGAATCCTGTGTCTATGAGCACTAAATTGAATACATTCAAGAGATTTGGTAAAAAACAAGTAGTCACTGGCCAGGTGCAGTGGCTCAGGCTGTAATCCCAGCCACTTTGGGAGGCCTGAGTTGGGCAGATCACTTGAGGTCACAGGAGTTCAAGACCAGCCTGGCCAACATGGCAAAACCCCATCTTTACTAAAATACAAAAATTAGCCGGGCGTGGTGGCACACCCGGTAGCCCCAGCTACTTGGGAGCTGAGGCAGGAAAATCACTTGAACCAGGGAGACGGAGGTTGCAGTGAGCCAAGATTGTACCACTACACTACCAGCCTGGGGCACAGAGCAAAGACTCTGCCTCAAAAAAAAAAAAAGTAGTCACTAAAACATATTTTTTTTTATTAAATCAGAGATGGCCAAGATTACTGTGAAAGTTTGGGGGAAGCGCTTAAAATTTAGTATAAATTCTACACTTTCTATTCTGTTGCAGTGTCTCTGCCAGTTTAAAGAAAACTAAAACTGAAATCATTGTCCAATGGATTGAGGATGTGATTTGTGCAAAACAGATGATGAAAAGCCTCTAATCAATAGATCCTATGCAAGAAAAAAAGATGATAGGCCTTATATTTTAAGATTGGTTGAATATACACATTCTATGTTTTAAGCTAAATGAAAATATTTGCTTTTAAAAGCCTATGGTTTGATGGACTTTCTCAATTTACCAACCAAGCACTCCTACGTAAGGGGCTTCTTTTTTATTTTTTAACACAGTACAACTGCATTACCCACTAATGTTTACATGTGTGACAATAATGGAAAAAACAAGAGGTTCCTGGGATGAAGGAGTATGTAGGGTCAGTTCAGGTGTTGGGTTAGGTCCTTTTCATTCAGTAATTTATTCAGCAAGAGTTTTAGAACCTTGCCAAAATCATAGATGGGCCTGCTTGATTTCCAATTTATGTTTGGGCAGACTACATAACCACACACACACAACCACACACAACACACACACACACCATTTTTATGTGGCAGAAAATTTCCATGGACAAGTGATAGAGGTCAG